TATTACTAATGTGACTAATATGTCTAAGATGTAACATTGTGATTTGCAATGCTACAAAGGTTGAACAATTTCAGAGAAAACGAAGGTGCCAGCTTGTTGAAAGCATATAACTAAATGGATAATATCGTTCTTTAAAATGATATGCACTTAGTACTCTCAGGGTATTCTTATTCGTTATGTGCTGATGAAAGTTAGTCTTACCTTTCTACGTTTCATCACTTTTATAATAATTCATGTATTTTTGTGATTATACAGTACACCAGTTATCAAAATTATCAAAGTAACTCATATTCTTCAATACATAATATTGTTATTTCTTACCAAACGTTTGTGACAAATTATGTTTACAGGTCCAAATATAGTATTTAATGCCAAAGATATAACAAACAAAAATCCTGACACTGGAAACACTATAATATTTGGCTCTACACTTCTTAATGAAGGAAATGCTTATAATATATCTACTGGAATCTTCACTGCGCCTGTCAACGGAACGTACTCATTTAGTATGCAAATTTGTGCTACATACACAAAAGAAGTCTACGCAGCTATCATGATAGATGGGAAAACATATGCTACCTTATATGTTTATGATAAAGATGCGCACACATGTGATAGTACAGATACTGTCACTGTTTTACATGAACATTCAAAAGTTTTTGTTAAATGCACTGATGGTTGTACGGGCAATTATATATATGCAGATTCTTACCGTATGAACTCGTTTTCTGGATATCTGGTTCACCAATAAACTTATCTGTTTTATCACTTTTTTCATCTTTTTATAGAAAGTAAGTCCGTACATATCATGCATTTCCCATCGTCGTGACGTTGTTAGCGGTAACATCGTTATAAAAGAACAAGAACAATTTGACTTATGCATATTTCATAACAAGAAAATAAAATAAAAAATACAAAAACAATTCTTGCTACGAGGTAAAACAGCGGGATTTCAGAGTGAATATATCTATTAGATTTTCTCTAATGCCAGGACAGTAAGCTAGTAACTAAATCAAATTTAAATATTTTATAAACACCCATACACAGTGAAATTACCCATTATAAATTTAAATAGTCATTTTCTAGTGTTCTGTGTGATTTTCTGTCATTCAGAAAATTCCGGCGTTTTTGTGACAAAACATGAAAGTAAGATTGTCAGTGTTTTTAATGAATGTTTTTCAAGCTTTAAATTAGAACAATAGCAGAATGCATTCTGTCAAGGCTTATTGATTCTTTTTCATTATGCAATATAAAAAAATCTTTCAGAAAGAATTTTATAAATATCCCTGAAAGAACGAAAACCATGTAACCATGACTTTTTAACAAAAGATTCGCAACAGACGATAATAAGATACAATGTAATTTTGATATTACAAATCTCTTCTTATGATTATGAAAAAAGACCTTTCCCAGTAATTTATTTTATAAATAGATAGATTTGTTTCTATAAGCGCCACTGGGCCGTAACATATTAATCAACAGGGTGCATATGTTGTATATACAAGCGGCACCAGAGTGCATGCTTTGAGTTATAACATTACATAAAATTACATATCAAAATATTTATGAATTTAATTTGATTATGGATCATCCTAGGGACTTTATTGGTCACGCCTTACTTATTTGATAATCCAGAATGACTACCAACTGGCACAGTCCAAAACACTTAAACTTGTAATTCAGTTAATAACGAATTTATGTGTACTGTTTAACAACTTGTTTTTAGTGATTTTCTTTTCATATTTGATAAGCAGAATATGAATTAAATAAAAAATATCAAGTTGAAAATATCACTTTACCAGCTTAAATATAATATGTAGTGCAGTTCAATTGGCGTGATGTACGATTTTTTAGAGTGCCTTTTTTGCCTACACAAATAGTAGACAGTCATGTACACATCCAAATGCAGTGTTAATTTTATTTTTTTACATTTTTTTAAGTAACATAGATTTGTATTAATGATTTTCTTTATCTCAGTAATGTCAGTATCTTTCAATTAATTATTACGTATACACAGCCGTAATTTGAAACTATAGAATACTTGCATTTTTGAAACTTAAAATATCTATTTGGTAAGACATAAATACATAATCTACATATGGTATAAGCAAGTAAGTACGATTTAACTGACTGTTTAAACACGGTGCATCAATTTTCATTATTAAAAATCAAACTAAAATGGTAACCATGATCAGTTACCCAACCATATGGTCTAGTATTGAAACAAATCGTAACCTTATTATGATAAACATCTTTATTCATTTGACCATCCTTTTTATGAAATATTTCCATCCATCCTTTTCATGCAATATCTTTTTCAATTACACAAAATCTTAGCAATTTCAATTTGCCGATCTTACATGAGTAAGGATTGAGACCTTTATATCCCTCTATTAATGTACATAATCGTATCGGCAATGTCCACCGTATACCCCAATGACGTTATTCAAGGGCGACAACTTGAATCCGGTCTTAAATAAAAGGGTTTTGCAAGATATGTTCCTCTTATTCTTTTATCAATCTTTACTTTTAATGAAAATAGAAGCCTAACTTCTGGTATTTTACATTCAAAAAGTAGGTCATACATTTCTGACAAGCAACACTTGTCGGGCGTATCTGATCCGTTTTTCTTTCATGGAAAAAGAAAGAATTACTTCTGGGATCGATTTGGTGACTGTAACTTTTTAATTTTTATGCTGGCTGCGGTTTAAAATAACTCCATTTACATGTACAGTGGCACAAATGTGACATGTGTGTGTGTTTTTTTATTTATCTCGTGGCCACGAGATACTATGTCGTGGCCACGAGTTACTAAGTCGTGGCCACGAGATAGCTAAGTCGTGGCCACGAGAAACTATGTCGTGGCCACGAGTTACTAAGTCGTGACCACGAGATAGCTAAGTCGTGGCCACGAGATACTATGTTGTGGCCACGAGTTACTATGTCGTGGCCACGAGTTATGAAGTCGTGGCCAATGAGATTGCTAAGTCGTCACCACGAGTTACTAAGTCGTGGCCACGAGATACTATGTCCTGGCCACGAGATACTATGTCGTGGCCACGAGATACTATGTCGTGGCCACGAGACACTATATTGTTGCCACGAGATACTATGTAGTGGCCACGAGATACTATGTCGGGGCCACGAGATACTGTGTTGTGGCCTTACTAAGTCGTGGCCACGAGATAGCTTAGTCATGGCCACGAGATACTATGTCGTGGCCACGAGATACTATGTCGTGGCCACGAGTTACAAAGTCGTAGATACGAGATAGCTAAGTCGTTGCCACGAGATAGCTAAGTCTTGGCCACGAGATACTATGTCGTGGCCACGAGATACTATGTCGTAGCCACGAGATAGCTAAGTCGTGGCCACGAGATACTATGTCGTGGCCACGAGTTACTATGTTGTGGCCACGAAATAGCTAAGTCGTGGTCACGAGATAAATAACCAACCAGAAAGCACCATTTATATGAATTTCCCTTATTAACTAGACATGTGCTATAGTACAAGGATGTCCCTACTCCACCAGCATGTAAAAGTGCCATTTATATAACTTATTGACGGGCCAATAATTTTACATTTAGCGACCCTGATTTTTAACCCAATGACCTCGAAATCATTAGATGTCATCTACTATTAAGGTACAATGATCTTCCTGAGTTATATAAACAATGACTTTTCCCTTCTAAATTATTCATCAGACAAGGATTAACCTTATAGCCTACTATCTATCTACTGTCCATGGGCAATGTCCCTTTAGAATAAAATAAACCAGGACTTATTCCTTCTCATGATCTCGTATAAACAAGGTTAACAGGTCGTAGTACAATGTACGTACAAACTGACCAATTTGATCACAAAATTGTCCCAAAAAAAAGAGCTTTAGTCAAAACTAATGTCTGATGGGCCTTGGAAGGTGACTTTCTAATATGATCCTAAAGACAAGTTCAAAGTGAATTTCTTTAGAATTTTCATAGATTAATGTTGCATGTAAAAGTAAGTTATATAAAAGTAAGTTTATAAATTCCATAATATATATATATATATATATATATATATATATATATATATATATATATATATATATATATATATATATATATATATATATATATATATATATATATATATATATATATATATATAACTATATATATATATATATATATATATATATAATATCTCATGGCCACAAGATAAATAAAAACACACACACATGTCACATTTGTGCCACCGTAGATATGCAATTATTCTTGTACGGAAGGGTTTAAATAAAAAGAGTTAAAGTCCGGCGCATTTGTCAATGTCAGTTGTGAACTGAAATACCGTCATTTCTACCGTCATTTCTTAAGTCATATATCTAGATGTTATACTTAACCAGTCTCTGTCTGGTGATTCTTTGGCAAGTTCTGTAGTTCTAAAGGGTAATGCAAGATCAAACTTATTGGACAGGAAAAGCTTGACAAAAACTTGAAATTCTTGTTTAGAAAAGGCGTGATTATCTCACTTTAACATTAAGGGACTTCCGGTTTTCTCAGGCCAGACAAATAAAATCATTGGGTTTGAACTTAAAAATTGGTAACAGATTACCTATTGATAATGAGCCACTAAGTAAAATAAATAGGTTGCGGTAAAATAGTAGAACAGTACAGACGGTCTTGCCGGTGGAACTTTATTTCCTTAGGTGAAAGCAACTTCTATATTTAACATGGGTCAAAGGTTGTGGTGCAAAATCATTTGCATAGTTAAAATGGTTGTATACAGTCGGACAATCTACCGTTTACTTTAAGGAACAAAACTAAGTTCTAAAAATTTAAACCGTCAGTAAAATGTAATATAATATAATATGTAATAATCGCTTTCAATGATGCTTGTTATCACAATATATATGCAATTTCAAACATTTTTAAATGCTATTGCGTACTACTGAAATAAATCTTGTCTAAGGTTATTAGGTAAGAGCTTACGTCAACGTGATATATAAATATTGGTCTGTCTGAGTCGAGGTACATGTTTTTCGTGACAGAGATCTTTGTGTATGAAATTATTCGTCATTCAGATAGCGTCATATTTTGTACATGTCTTGATGGTTATCTCATTAATTAGAACAGGTCTCGTGCCAGTAGACGGGACAACCTTCCATGAGGGCACATGAAAATAGAATGATTGCGATAACGTTAGGTAAAATCTTTCTTTTTTATTTTCTTTTATTTGAATAAGTAAAATGAAAACAACCAAAACACTCATTAAAATGGACATAAAATATTTTCTACAAACTTTCTCCAATGACATTCATATTAAGTGTCATTCAGTGAAACATCTTTTGACAGATAATAATGGTGACATGTCCGAGGTTCATACATATTTCAGTGCCTGAAAAGGTGGATGGACACTCAATTTGCCTACATGTGCGTAGGCAGCAATATGTTTCGGAAATTATATTTAATTGTGTTCAAGTGAACGCTTTAATGACTACATTAAATTAAAGTCGCCTTCAGCTGCTACGCATTAAATACGCTAAGAACCAAAATAATTCGCTTGTCATTACACAAATGTATTAAGGAATTTCCTTCAAGAGAATGTAAAATTACTAAAATTGCATTACAACTTATATATTTTAGGTTTTTCGATATACCTACTGCTTGTCTTTCCAAAGACATCTGGTAAGAATCTATATTATATATCTATATAGGTTATTATTATTATCCTGTTACTATCAATTTCGGAATTATATTGTCCAGATCACTTGCTTAAACTAAGCACCTGTTTTCTGGTCTACTTTTTAGCTCACCTGTCACAAAGTGACAGGGTGAGCTTTTGTCATCGCTTTTTGTCCGGCGTCCGTCCGTCCGCCGTCGTCCGTCCGTCGTCCGTCCGTCCCTCGTCCGTCCGTCCGTAAACTTTTACTTTAAATGACATCTCCTCATAAACCACTAAGCCAATTTCATCCAAACTTCACAGGAATGTTCCTTTGGTGGTCACCTTTAAAAATTGTTCAAAGAATTTAATTCCGTGCAGAACTCTGGTTGCCATGGCAACCGAAAGAAAAACTTTAAATATCTTCTCTTAAAAAACCCCATGGGCTAGAGCTTAGATATTTGGCATGAAACATCTTCTAATGAGTGTCTACCAAGTTTGTTCAAATCAAAGCCCTGGGGTCAAAATTGGCCCCGCCCTAGGGGGTCATTGATTTTCCCTATATGCATATAGTAAAAACTTAAAAAAATCTTCTTATAAAGAACCCAAAGAGCTAGAGCTAAGATATTTAGCATGAAACATCTTCTAGTGAGTGTCTACCAAGTTTGTTCAAATAAAAGCCCAGGGGTCAAAATTGGCCCCGCCCCAGGGGGTCTTTGATTTTCCCTATATGCATTAAGTAAAAACTTTTAAAAAAAATCTTCTTTTAAAGAACCCAAAGAGCTAGAGCTAAGATATTAAGCATGAAACATCTTCTAATGAGTGTCTACCAAGTTTGTTCAAATAAAAGTCCTGGGGTCAAAATTGACCCCGTCCCAGGGCGTCATTGACTTTCCCTTTATGCATATAGTAAAAACTTAGAAAATCTTCTTTGAAAAAACCCAAATAGCTAGAATTTAGATATTAAGCATGAAACATCTTCTAATGAGTGTCTACCAAGTTTGTTCAAATAGAAGCCCATGGGTCAAAATTGGCCCGCCCCAGGGGGTCTTTGATTTTCCCTATATGCATATAGTAAAAACTTAAAAATCTTCTTTTAAAAAACCCAAATAGCTGGAGTTTAGATATTAAGCATGAAACATCTTCTATTGAGTGTCTACAAAGTTTTTTCAAATAAAAGCCCTGGAGTCAAAATTTGCCCCGCCCCGGGTGTTATTGATTTTCCTTATATATGTATAGCAAAAACTTAAAAATCTTCTTTGAAAAACCCAAATAGCTAGAGTTTAGATATTAAGCATGAAACATCTTCTAGTAATTGTCTACAAAGTTTGTTCAAATAAAAGCCATGGGGTCCAAATTGGCCCCGCCCCAGGGGTGTCATTGGTTTTAACTATATGTGTATAGTAAAAACTTTGAAAAAAAATCTTCTTTTAAAAAACCCAATGAGCTATAGCTTAGATGTTTAGCATGAAACATCTTCTTATGTTTGTTCAAATAAAAGCCCTTAGGTTAAAATTGGCCCTGCCAAGGGGGGGGGGCGGAAGGAGGGGGGTATATTGTTGTTTTTCATTATAAGTGTGTAGTAAAAACTTAACATCGTGAAACATCTTCTAATGGGTGTCTTCCAAGATTGTTCAAATAAAAGCCCTGGGGTTTAAACTGGCCCCTTTCCGGGTGCCTTTATACAGGTGAGCGACCTCAGGAACATCATGGCCCTCTTGTTATTTAGCAACACTTTTTTCAGTTATTTAATTTTAAGCAGAACGTTAGCTGTTTTCGATAAAACATGAAAATATGTATGTTTATTAATAACCAAATTACAGTATGAGTTAAATTATAAACAACCTCTTCAGCGTATTAGTACACAAATTATTTAACCTACATATTACAATATATTCTGTATAAACAGGATGATAAATTGGGGCCATGGAGTGTTTTTACATTATGATAAATGTATGTCATTTAAAAGAATAGATGTTACTTATAGTAGAAATGAAGCTGAACTTTATGAAGTATGACTTTAACACAGTAGCATATTATAAACAAAGCATATTCAGTGTACTTCATTATAAAACATTTACTTTAGACGCCTTGCAGTGTTACAATTGTACCGACATTGCTGACGTTAATGAATGTCTTACAGTGACAGAATGCCATGCCGGTCAGGTAAATATCTAACAGTATTATTATGCTATATTGGTCAAAATTCGCATAATATAATACTGTTCTGGTAGATGTCGACAAGTTGTTGAATATAATAAGGGTTAGGCAAATATTCTACACTGAGGGTCAAGTTAGTGTCAACAAGAGAAAATTGTTTTTTTGATAATCAGGCAGATACCCTTACTATGTCAATAAAAATGAAGGATCCAGGATCCAAGGTGTGAAAGAAATTCTCTACGTCCAAATTGAGATCTCGGGTATTCATTAATTAATTTCCTGGGATTTCAGACAGAACATAATTTTTTAAAACCTCGAGGCCAGGTCTGCCACCGGCTGTTATAACAGCGGGTAATCTTTTGCTAAATGAAAGACAGGCAATAACATTTGTTTTACGAAAAAGGTCGGTAAATAGAAGTAGAATTTGTCATATTATTAAGTAATATTCAGTAAATATAAAATAAGCTCTACCGTTAAAGTATTTGTAGAAATTGCCATATATGGGAGTTTCATTATGCTGTTAAATTATTTTAACATTTGTTTACTATAATCAATATGTCGATGTAAAAATTGTTATATAAAAGTATCTTTACAAAACAAATTGCTTTGTTAGTTACCATGTTTATAAACGCTTTTTATCATGCTGACTTGTAATTTTATAGTCTTGTCACATAGAAGTAAAATCATCAGGACAAAGAAGCACCCTTGGATGTACAGACAATCAGGTAGGCAAGAGATATCCCGAAAACAATCTTACAAAATTAGCAAAATTCTAAAATTTGGTTCATATAAAAACAAGTGTATGGCAACATTAGTGACATAATTTATTACAAAATTCCGTTCTCGTCTTAGAAAAGATATCATTTTGGTTTGATCAGGTTTGATCATTTAATTTTTCCATTTTGTGTCTGAATTTCTCTTTTCAAAGTACTGATATTCTAAATGGACAATATAATTATAAGATAAATTGTACCAATTCCCAACCATCGCCGACTTAAACTGTATAAGCCATATACAGATATAAATATGCACATACCTCCACTTTTGTAGTTTCTTGTCTATAAGTCATATTTCCATTTTACAGTTATGTGGAGTAAGTGCCAGTGGTGCCGGAAATTTGATCGGTCGAGAAATAAGTGGGCGACAAACTTTGGACTGCCATGAATGTTGTAGTAAAGATAAATGCAATAAAAATTTATGTTCACATTTGACACGTAAGCTGTTTGTTTCATATATTACTTTTCTCCTGTTGTAACTAAACAATGTTTAGTTCCAGGATAACATATAAAAAACGAACAAAGCATTCCTTTAACTTAAAATCAAATTCTTAAAGAGTCAAATAATGGCGTCACAATGAAACACATTATATCACTTGACAAAAAACAAAAACATTAACACCTACTTAAATTACATGTACAGGATGCCAATACAGTTTCGGAGCATTACCGACATGGGTCGATATTTATTGAGGTTTGAGTGGTCAAAGAATTTTTGTTAACATACGGGATAGTTTATTGCACATACGATAATAAAGTTCCAATATTACGTTGGATACTATTTATATTTCAGCCGGAGCATGTATTGATGATGTGAAAGTGGATTGTGCATTTCTAAATAGCTTTTTCAATATTTGTAAGGATATTCAGCGAGCCAAGTTAATCTGTGCAAAATTCTGCTCACTGTGTTCACTTGGTAAGCTTAACCATTTGACTTACTACATTTGTTTTTCATTTAAAATAATTATAGTTAATGATTCTCATTTTATTTACAAATCAATTTAAAGAGTGGCTGTTGTTTATATGAGAAGCTTTTTGAAACTATAACAGTCTTATGGAAAAACTGTTATGTTTTACCAATAGCCAAGATTCATATGAAATAAATATACTGTATTATAAAATCGAAATATTGATGAAATAAAATGCGCATTTTTAAGTAGACATAAATATTCTTAACTCAACCACGCAGACTAAAATGAACATTATTTGCATTCAGCGTATTCGAATTGCTGCGGTTCAGTAACACTGCTTCAAGAATACAATTTTTAATTTCATTTATTTGTCATGGTCCATTTGATCACTTTTAATCCTCAAACAGTGGATGGGAATTGGGCAAGCTGGTCCCCGTGGTCTACATGTGACGTCACCTGTGAAAATGGGACTCAGACAAGAACAAGACAATGTTCCGATCCTCCCCCAGCAAATGGCGGACTTGACTGTACCGGAACACCCACTGATATTAAGACATGCTCAAAACAACTTTGTCCAGGTATGAATTCAGCATAACAATGGCATATTGATAAGTATTGCCTAATCCAAATCAGTTACAAATTATTATATCTTATTTGAAACCAAAAAATGACTTTTAATCTGAATAATCAACTAAGGAAAGGGTTGATGATTATTTACTAGAATACCAGATCGGAACGCACACAGGTTAATTCAAACACACTGATGCTCAAAAAATGAAACAGAAAAAATGCAATTATTTACATATACGTTTGGTTTTCGAACATAGCCAGAAAAAAATCTCTATCCTGAAGCAGGAGAACCTTCCATTTATAAGACGCCGCGTGCACGCGGTGTCTAGAAGATAGGCATTTGTCTATACAGCAATGGGGGAATTTTAGACTTGATTTTGTGTGTTTTTGTTGTTTTTTTGTTGCTTTTTTTTGTTTTGTTTTAACAAAATTAAACTGTTTTCAAATTTTCTAATAGAAATAGCTTTTCTGATGTACAATATGTCACAGAGCTTTAAAGGATTAGACTAAATGTTTAACTGAAGTGACAGTGTCATGTTTGAATATTCTTTTTATCATTGTCTAATTTTATCTACATATTAAATAATTATAACGTGCCATTGAGCCAGTCTGTAGTCGATCGTTCTTAAACTTAACCACTGAGAGAGGTAACGACTGAGGCATTGTCACTCACTTCATTTGCTCCGCCTCTGTTGAATTTCGGCTCCGCCTTAAATTGTAGCCAACTTTAATATGATGCTCCGTATGCTAGCATTTAGTATTCGTTGACGGACGGAAGGGAACCAGGACGGTTTTGATCAATATCACTTGTCGAATCATTAAATTACAAGTGTCAAAGCCCAAACCACGCCCACTATCAGAGAGGCGGTTCTCTCTCAACCGTTCAGAAAGTACGCCAAACTCTGCGCACCGGTTACGCTACGGCCAGTAAGGGGAGATCACTGCAGAACAGTTCGTCCTCAAATTCATTCAAACATGCAATTCGTACCAATATTTAAAGGGAAATTTTGTCGGCACATATTGTCTTGAATTTATTTTAAGTATACCAATCATTTCAATTTTACTTGTTATCCAATTTGTTTCGACCAGACGTTTCAATCTTTGTCGTAACAGACAAACATTTCAGAATTTCAGACATGGCATTACTTTGTGAATTTATGCATTAGCACAAAATTATGCAACTTAATTAACTGAATTATTAATCAACGAGTACATAGAATCTACCAAGAACATGGAGAAAAAAAGATTTGTGCTTCGGATATTCAACTGTAATAGAGAACGATTTTCAATGCTGATTGTTCACATCATTTGCTGGCGTCTTTGATGTGCAGTATCAACATTTAACTTGTCTTCCATTGATCGACGTCGGAAATAGCTTTCCCGTTAGTATGCAGCTAGATTATTGTCAAACTCCTGCTAGAAAAGAAATTATTGAACCAAATTCTAGTGGCGCAGTTTTAAATAACAAAAAGAAAGATTTTTTAATCAGTAGGTCTTCATGTAAAATACATTTAGGAAAACTAAAATTATATTCTTTAAGATATTTAAGAGGATTTCATTCAAGGATAAAAGTTAATATTAGCACTTGTACCAAAAATCATCTAAATTTGTATACATTTTGCATGTTTCAAAGTGCATGGTGGCTGGTCTGAATGGTCGAACTGGGACGCGTGTTCTGTAACTTGTGGTGTAGGCATAGAAAGGCGGCATCGTAATTGCTCGAACCCGGTACCAGACAGGAACGGACTACCATGTTTTGGCGACACTTTAGATGTACAGATGTGCTTTCCGGGTCCATGTGCAAGTAGGTTTGATAAAAGCTTCAGTTTGTCATGATTTTAAGCATGGGTGTTGATGTATTGTTCAAAAGCTACGTTTCTTGTTAAAATCTAAATAAAACGAATGAAAAAGCTATTCAGTGACACACATTTTAAATCAACACCAGTGAATTTTCTTTTAATATTGGATTATTATGGAATCTTTATCGTTGAAATTGACATAACTCATGAATCATCACCTAAACATAGTGTAAAACATAAGGTAAATTTTAATAAGTTTATAAATAAGAAATACATTTAGATGTTATCTAAAATGATAATAACACGATATATTATAACGACACTATAAGATATTATATTGCAGCACCTATCACATAATCTTTTCTAATGGAACGACCAAAAATCCAATTTTGTCCTCTTTAACGGCCCATTATGCATCATTTGAGCTATCGATTTTGTGTCGCCTCAAGAGAGTAGTGGCGACATATAGGAGTCACTTCTCCGTCGTGTCTACGTCCGTCCGTCACAGAATTTATCCGGGCTACTCCTCACAAAGTACTGGTGCAATTTTATCCAACTTTACAGGAATGATTAGTAAATATATAGTCGGCATTTTCTGGTTCAATGATTTTTGACAGAGTTATGACCCTTTTAATGATTCTTGTCGGACTATTCCTAGTTTACTACTAATTGAAATTTCAATAACATTTTACAAGATTGATCTGTAGCTTAAGTATTTGCGCAAATTACACGGATTTTCGACTTGAAAGATTTTTAATTGAGTTATGACCCTTGAATAGAAAATATGTCTTTTTCTGCTACCTACACAAAATCCTGTCCGGACTTCTCTTCACAAACATCTGGTGCAATTTCATCCAAGCTTTACAGGAATGATTTTAACTAAGTGAAGTTGTGCATATCAGCGGTATTCTCCGGTTCAATGATTTTTGTCATGGCCATTTAATTATTTTATTTTTAAAATTTGTCCGGACTACTCATCTATACCCAATAATGCAATTTCAATCAAACTTTACAGGATTGATTTGGTACCTTCAGTCCTTGTGCACAATGCATTGGTTTTATGTTTGAATTATTTTTTGCCGAGTTTTGGCCCTTGTATGAAAAACGCGTTTTGGCTTTTTAATGATTCTTGTGTCTCCTGCTACACAGTAGCTGCAACATGCAATTGGCAATCATGGGGTGACACATGTGGTGACTGACGCCCTTTTTTCTTCACGCATTTTTTTTCTTTAATTTTGATATCTCATAACAGATTCCAAAAAAAATTTAAGAAAATCCAAACCGATGGATTCATTTGATTATTTAAATATGGTATAAGAACATAATTATTCACCCAATGGGTAATAAAGCATCGATCAATATTGCGTACAGCGGCAAATATTTTGAAAACATTTTACTATGTTTTTGACGTTGTGACAACATTCAGACTGTGGCGCATGCGCAATATTATGCTTACTTAAATATGCATTTGGTTATCATAATATGATTAATTGTTTATAATTCTTGTTTCCTTCTAAAGAGGATATATAACGCATCAATACAGTGTTTATAACATGCACATTAGATATATAATATAAGATCTATGGCTTAATTCCGGGTATTTCTAGGTCATTCCTCATACTGGCTGCTACTAGTATCCTTTCAATCTAATTAAATGTGAAATCGTTTGAAAGTTGTTAACCACGTCGTTTATTTAATTAATTTCTTCTCAATATTTAAGAGACAACAAAATTGTATTTATGATTTTTATGTAAAAAAAAGTTTGGTGTAATTAAGATGGTGGTTGGACTGACTGGGGACAATGGAGCACCTGTTCAGCGACGTGCGGGGACGGTTTAAAATCTAGATCACGTACCTGCACAAATCCGTCACCCTCGCCTCACGGAAAATATTGTGATGGAGATCCTATAGAAGTTGTTTCCTGTAGGAAAAGCAGTTGTAGTATGTGATAACATTTATATATCGTTAATAAACAGTTACTTCCATTCCTAAATTGGCTTGAGAATATGACAAACACAAATTTTTCTATATCTTATTGCAAACCTCGGTGTCATTACAACCTCGTGTTATTTTAGTTATACAGAATTTAAGTGCCATTGTATATGAAGCTTATAGATTTACGTCTGGGTCCAACCAGTACTGATCAATGAGTGCAAAATTTCTTGCTCAAGGAAACACTGGCTCGTCCCAGACGGGGTTTGAACCTAGGCGGATAGCGATGCTAAGGTTACTAGTCGGACGTGTTCACCACTCGGCCATGCCGTCATTATCACATGTCTTTTAATCAAAATTTGTGGAGCATTTCGGTATACTAATGTGTCAAAGATGTAAGATGTTATATTTTGAGTTGCAATGCTGTAAAGGATAAACAATGTCAGAGAAAAGTAGGTATCAGCTTGTTGAAAGCATATACATAAATACAGTTTGAATAAGGATAACATTGTACATTAAAATGATATGCACTCAAGTTCTATCTGGGTTTTATTATTAATCGTAATGTTCTGGTGAAAACATTTCTTGCCTTTCTACCTATTATTTTCATCACTTTTATAATGTTCGTGTATTATCATATCAAAACAGTTAAACAATAAAACAATATTATCAAAGAAATTCGTACTCTTTAATAGAAATCATTGTTATAGCTTAAAAAATAGTTGTTACAAATTTTGTTTTATAGGTCCAAATATAGTATTTAAAGCCAATGATATAACAAACAAAACTCCTAGCAATGGACACACTGTAATATTTGGCTCTACACTTGTTAATGAAGGAAATGCTTATGATACATCTACAGGAATCTTCACTGCGCCTGTCAATGGAACGTACTCATTTAGTATACACATGTGTACACAAGTGAACAAGTATTCCTACGCAACTATCATAATAGATGGGACAACATATGCTACCGTATATGTTTATGATGAAAATTCGAATTCATGCAATAGTGCAGATACCGTTGCTGTATTACATAAACATTCAAAAGTATTTATTAAATGCATTTATGGCTGTACGACCAGTTTTATATTTAAAGATGGTAACCATATGAACTCGTTCTCTGGATATCTGGTTCACCAATAAACTCATCTCAAGTGTCTTTATTTCAAGATGCAATCATTATTATATGTAGTTTAAATTGTATGATAAATCTGTAGCTCCGTCCTTTTATTTTGTTATTCCTTTTCTTTAAAATTTTTAAGTAGAGTAAAGTCATTAGGCTAATGGTAATTGTAAAAAGGAATAAATAATTTGTTTATAAAAGTTTTTAATTCTTTTTTTATTTCTTATAAATCCCTAATTATGATTTCTTTTCGTAGTAAAAAGTTGGTCTAACATTCTTCAAAGCTATGCTTCCAGAAAATAAGAATGTACGGATGTGTTTCAGACCAGCGTTATACGTTAACCCCCTTAACCTACCAAGAGCAACCAAATCTGCTTGGTTTTGCTGAGAGCGGCCAAATCTGCTTGGTATTGCTTAGTGCGACCACATCTGCTTGGTATAACTGAGAGCGACCACTTCTGCGTGGTTTTTCTGAGAGCGACCAAATTTGCTTGGTATTTCTGATAGCGAGCACATTTGCTTGGTATTGCTTAGAGCGACCAAATCTGCTTGGTTTTGCTGAGAGCGACCAAATCTGCTTGGTATTGCTTATTGCCACCACATCTGCTTGGTATTGCTGAGAGCTACCACATCTGCTTAGTATTTCTTAAAGCGACCACATATGCCTTGTTTTGCTGAGAGCAACCAAATCTGCTTAGTATCAAAAAGATGACGAGTGCCTTGTCAGGTACCAATCAGCTTGGCGAGCTCTTTATGATATTTTTTAGTTTTGATAATAAAAGTGTTGAAAGGTTTAGTTGCATAACCTAACAGTGTGTATGACAGTCTTATTGAGGCAATTCCGTGTTGTTTTTTATGTTGTTTCCTTCCATTTAATCAAACATTACAAACCCTTCTTTTTTCTTTTACTTTTATTTTATCAGATGAAACAATATATCATAGTTGGTAGTATCAAAAAGTATAGTCTGAAAAGAGAGATAAACATGATTACTAGTATCAGAAGTGGCTTAGCAAAATAATATTGGTTATGTTATATACAGTACGGCTGACATTATGCTCATTTTTCGTTATCAAGATAAGCTAAATCATTTATAAATTTCAAATGGTTGGCAATTACTATAGTCGTTGATAAAAAAAATGATATAAAACCGTCCTACTCTTTGTATCAATTGAACGTTACTGGATATTTATGTAATACATAATTGATCATTTTCGCAAAGTAAAATACAAAAATGGCAAAATATATATATATATATATATGTGTATATTATTAATTCCACTTGTGCACTCACCATTTACCCTATGATGGGCATAATGTCGGTGTTCAAACCAATTTCCGGTTAAGGATTTCTCTCACAGATTTGTATAAAACTTCTGTTACAACCAACATATTGCCATTCATGAAAAAAGTACCCGAGACGCCTACAGTATAAAAATAAAGCCTCATTCTTTATTGCCTTCATTTCTCCACTGGCGCCTTGATTAACTTGTGATTTGGTTGTCTTTGTTTTGTCGCTGTCTTGCTCTAGTCCACCGTCTTCTAATTTTACATTGCTATGAACTGTTGGTTGATGGTGATTAGGAGTGGAATTTTCGTCTACGGCTTCCGTTACAGTGCCATGGTTATGCGGGTGTCCGGCGCCTAACCAAAATCCGTAACTGGAAGTGGGAGTAGGCAAAGAGTTACTGATCGACGCCATCTTTGTGTCAGTACTTTTAGTTGTGTGTGGCAGCGAATGCATTTCATCTTCTTCTATCTCTGGATCAATGAAGAAAGCCCTATCGGATTTTAACGCTGACTGTGTAACACCATCTGTACTTGATTTGTCGTCTGCAAGACTCTTTACAGAAGTCAATGCTACATAAAATAATAAAAAGTTGTTAATTAGTTTGAACCATCATACCATCGTGAAACAACATATTCAGAATCTAAAAACAGCCCAAAACAGCAAAATGGAAAATGTTGCATGCTCGGTTTGATTGAGGCTATGCATGGACAGAAATGAAAGATGCAAGTTACCGTCCATGCCCCTAGTACTGGTTTAAAGTAAACAAAATGTAAAATATTTAACTAAGAAACATCTGCAGATGTGTTATGCGGTAGTTTTTCCTTGAACCTTCCATGTGACAAATTCGTATATTTCCAGGAATAGCGGCGTATGGCCACTAAGAATTTGAATTCGTGTATCTTAAACGAGAAAACAATAGTCGAAATTAAATAAAATGAAATCTTAAATGAGGATTAGATGTTTAGAAGTTGTATAAAGTAAAGGATAAAAAATACATCAGAAAAAAAGTTAATTATTGTAGAACTTACAATGTGGCGTATGTTCATCTTGTCCATCCTCTAATGGGTCATCAAGAAAGCCAAAGTCGAGAGCAAGCATTTCACGTTCGGCAATACAACATCCTGTCAAAATTAAAATCTACCAAATTATGAATTTCAGACTTTTAAAATAATTTTATCTCGCATTTTCTGGTACATAAAAAACTATTGCTCAACTTTTCGCTGTTGAAAATGATCACAATTTCTCTCATATATTCGATATTCACTAAAAATACTTTCTTTTTTTTTCATTATTCAGCAAACAACATTAATTCAAGGTCAATTGTGGAGAAAGATTTTAGCTTGGACCACCCTTAAAGAACTCGAAACCACGATCCTCATCGCAGAAAAGTTAACATATTAAGTAATTCATTTCCACAATCTCTTTAGTTTAAACTTATTTCAATCTACTAACAATTGTTTTCCATTCAGACAAGCTATTTAGTCTAGACTACCAATAATTGTAATTCATTTTCACAAGTTATTTTATTCTAAACTACCAATGATTGTTTTTCATTTAAACACCTTTTTTACTTAAAAACAAATACAATAAGGTTCATTCATTTTCACTTCCGTAGAAGATTTTAACCTACCTATATATCTGTTTATTTGGGTATTCATGAATTCTTGAACATTTTTCGCCTCCTTGCTATCATTAACAAGGGGGGCTGCGTCTAAATCCGCGCAATATTCCTGTAAATGAAGAGAAATAAACTGAAATAAAGATAACACATAATTATGAGTCGTCTAACTTTTTCTTACTCCCAGGGATACGAGATTAATGTCACGTGGGTAGAAGCCCTTTGACAAAGAGAAGATATGCAATTCCTTGCATATCGGACTGGTCTAAGAACCTATGTCGGAAATTTCATCTAACATAGGAAAGCCAAGATACCGCCATAATGGACATGTACCCTCGGACCGGATATCCTGATCCGAACCGCAACGTATAACAGATATTGTTAATGTACCATGACATGACTTCTATTAACCCTAAACCTGTTGACTGTGTGGTATTGATTTGTCCTGTTTTGAATCTGGAACATTCCAATAAGAGTTTAAGGGATTTCAATATAAAAATACAAAAAAGTTACGAAATAGTATAGAGCTTATACGTACAAAACTTGCCTGGCTTTAAACTCGTGGCAAACTTACCTTTGCGTCTGAACTATGCACAGGCGTGGAGCTGTACATGTAGCACTTCCGGTTATAATATGTCCAGTTGGCAGGGCAAACAGTCTCTAAGAATGTAAGGAAATAAATAAATACCTGAAGGAATATAACTATTTTTAACCTACACACGTGTAATATAATATCGTACGTAAAATGTCAAAACAAATTCATTTTCAATAATTTCAATGTGTTAAGTCATATGATAAAACAGTGAGTTTAGTCATGTGATAAATCAATGCACTTAGTCATGTTATGAAACAACGCACTTAGTCATGTTATAAAACAATGCGTTTAGTCATGTTATAAAACAACGCACTTAGTCATGTTATAAAACAATGCGTTTAGTCATGTGGTAAAACAATGATTAAAGTCATGTGGTAAAACAATGATTTAAGACATGTGGTAAAACAATGCGCGTAATCATGTAATCAAACATAATTTTATTCGTTGCCATATAATACAACAAAAAAGATCTTTCATTAAACAAGTTCAAGAAATCGTAAGAGCCTAAACCTTTTATATCAAAACATATTTAAAATATCCAGATATATTTAAGTTTTCTTTACCTTTGATAATAAATTGTCCGGGTACATTTTCTTTAAATGAAAAAGTGGAATTCTCCTCTATGGCAGACAATAGCTGTTTTCGTGTCATGAACACTGGAATGTTTAGTGAATAATTTGGTTTTCACAGTACGAAATGACCGATGGAGATAAGATTAACACAAAAATGTTTCAAACATGTAAAAGTAATAGGTAATAGTAAAATTGATTAACAAAAGTAATTCTTTTTATCTCATTACAATTTGCCGGGCAAAAAAGATAGGAACCGCGGTACCGACAAGGAACGCCCTATAAAGACAACGTAATGTCATTTATCACTTACCAGTTAAATACAAGGTGATGCCGCCTGTTGCAAGAAGGACGAACAGGCTGACAATGATGAAATACCGTATAAAAGACCAGCCAGATTTGTTGATGTCCTCGTTGTCCGAATCTTCCTTCTGATCAGCTGAAGTCACGTTTTCATCTACGTCAATAATAGATTCTTCATGCAGGGATCCTTTATTAAATGAAATGAATAATAAAAGAAAACATTGACTGAAAACTTTTATTAAAAGTTGTAAATCATTATTTAAATAAAATGACTGGTTAAATTTGAGTGAAGTTGTAGCCTATTGAGTCAAACAGTGCACAGTCAAACAGATAAATGTATATACATGTACTAGTTAAAACATCAGTGATAAGGGAACACTGTTACACACTGGTATAAATTCGGAATTCCGTTAATTCTGTAAATTCCCTTTGAATATTTTTATAAGAAATCCTTTGATGTTACAATGCAGGTAAGGCAACAAAAATGGAAAGGCATCAACTTTCACACTGCCCCGTTAAAACGTGATACTGTCGCGTTATAAACTTCGTACTACTGTATTGTGTTGCGCAACATTTTTTGTTTTCGGAAACTGGCATGCTAACTTTTAAACTTCCTATCCATCAATTTAAATGTGACAATTGTAAACCATTGCCAAATCTTAAACATATTATAAACACAATACCCTTCGTACTGTCTGCTTCGATGTCACTTTGTTTAGACATTTCCATGATATTCTATCTGAAATAATAATTAAATAAGCTTTTACTTTGCTCTGCAGTGAAAAATTGTGATAATTCAATCAAAAAACGTCAACACCAACTGTTATATATCCCTAGTGACAAGCAACTTCATTGATACCTCCTTCACAATGGACAATAACCGAAATAATTGACAAAGGTGTCTCCTGCATTCTCACCCGATTTTGGCAGGAATAGTCGCGTGACACGAGCTTGCCAAGAAAAGAAACATATTGTTCAATTTTGTCGAGTTTGCACGAAACGCTTTTGGAAATATGGACACAGCAATGGAAAATTCATATATGTACACAAATCATTGATTTCAACCAGAAACATCAACAAAAAAGAACAAAGACATTTCCAGAGTACAATGCACATCGAATAATTAAAAGATAACAAAAAATAGAAAAGCAAAGGAGAAAAAATAAAAGATAAAAGTAAAATTTTGAAATGCTTTGCCAAGAGAAGCATTGTAGTAAGACATCATCATCAAACTTCGTGACGTTTATTTCTGACACGAGAAAATACGTAAAATACTTACGTTGATTACATTAAATGGTACTTACCTAATACAGTACAATACCTAAAAATATTACCACTTCTTATTATGTTGTAGTAATTGTAAAACGTTACATTGTGTCGGATTATATATGTGTTTGTATTAAGACAAAATGTAAATAATTCATGACCATGTTAAAATAATTCTATATATTAATATCTATGTGTGTATGTTTTTAGAGTTTGTAAAACGAAGGATATTATTAATAAAGAACATAAAAATATGTTATGCTGCATTTTGTTATTCCATTTTTTTAAATATGGTGGTCAAACTTAAATATCTGTAAACGTTGGTAGAAATGAACACTTAAAGATGCACACGTGTATATGCAAATACGCTTCGTGAAATTTAATTAACATTTTGAAGAAAAAAATGCCAAATGAAAAACAAACTAGAGATGTAAAGTTGTAATCAGCAAGCAGTTTATCTTTAAACATTTAACAGGTGCTATGTAAAACACTTTTTCAACATGTGCTTGGCCTTATTAACATAGCTGTGATATCACGATTTTCTATAATACTTGCCGATCTTCAAGACACTTTTATCGTATCTCACACCTTTGAAATAGTGGTTATTTCAACGAACTGGCCAGGCGTAATAAAAATGTTGCGATTGAAGCCGTGGTGCTGTTAAAAAATATTACGCGTTCTTATTAAAGTGTGTGAACATTTCGCGCCAAAATTGTTATTCTTGCAGATGTTTGTTTTTATATTCGTAAACACCATTTTAGAATTAAATTGATTGATAAGAAACGTGAATTCCTGAAGAATAACATCATATATAGTTTCGATATACATGTATAATATTTCTCACCAGCCAGTATGATTCTAATTGACACCTTTTTGTATCATACAATTTCATACTGGTCTACTCTTGTGTGTAAGTAAGTACATAAGTAAGTAAACAGTTTATTATAGTGGCATGTGCCTTTCTAATAAAACAAAACATATATTGACAAAGTTAAATTAGCTTTTGGGCGAAATATTCATACCTGAACATATTGATCTTTAAGTCTTTGAGTCTAATCAATGACGTAAAATGGTATTAAGTAAATAAAAAAGCTATTATTTTCATTTATATTCGCAAACAACTTTTTTATCAATGCAAATAATAAGAAGGCGATTTTAGTTATAATAATCAAAGGCCGCAGGCTTTTATTTACATACAATTGTTGGATTGAATAAGTATAGCGAATATTCCGGCTGTCTGTTTTAGAAGCTGTCGGCCAATATTACTGACTAACAAGTACCTTAAGAACAGTGTTGCCTAAGTAATAGTCTGTTTCTACTTGCAGTACGAAAAGCATCAAAATAATCTAAATTTATAAATTATCTACGTAAACAACCATAAGTTTATAACTGTTCAGACATAAAGAGAGATAATTGTGTATATTTTTGAAGTATATATTGAACAAAATTGTCTCCCTTATGCCGAAAAAAAACGCATTTCAACTACGCCTTTTGGACTTTCAGCCTTGTACAATATGTTGTTTTTTTAACAAACGTTATCTATGCGACATTTTCAGAAATCAGAAACAACTATAATAATCAACAACAAAAAATGCAACTAGTATGTGTTAAAATGAAAAGACAGTGCGCATTATTTGAGAAATGTTGCAACTTGCCAATACCTTTTGCAGGTTGCTGAAGTATTACAGTTGAAAATGAGGATTCTTACCAGCATAACGAAACCACAAATACAATGTTGGCCCATCGTCGGATATCCACATAAAATTATCAACGTTTCAATTGGTTATAATTGCCTCATGAAATCGTGAGGCAACCAATGAAGTTGTTGTCTTTGACACACCTCTAATCAACTGAATATCGGCATACAATCCCACGGCTGATAAATGTTAATGGTTCGGCTGTGGGTATCCGCCGATGATATTGATAAATATTCTCCAAGCGATTGTAAAACAATAAATTGTTAATTTAAAATATTGCAAAGAGCACGAAATAAATGTGGGTATTTGTAAGTAGCTCATCCTTAAAATCCTCAGAGCATGAGCACAAGTTAGAACTCGTCAGCAAGTCAGGTTCCTGGCGCCCTTAAAAACTAATTGACACGTTGTTTACGGAATTGTGCTAAATACTATCCAACAAAAAGGCTAACAGCAGGAAATGCCCAAGTAAACAATGGCCAAAAGTGGTAAAAGTAAACAATGGCCAAAAGTGGTAAGGTAAGCAATTCCCAAAAGTTGTAAAAGTAGGAGAATAGTGGTTCCATCTGTTAACAACATGCTTTGATACAATTGAAAAAAAGCTTAAATTCCCTTTTCTTAAGTTTGAGCTTAAGTTAATTAATCGGGAATCGGAACTTAGATTTATTTCAAGTGCATACAAAATTATAACTCGGCATGCCTTAAAGGCCAATCGATTTTGTGGCTTTTGTCAATGTCGTTTTATACGCCAGATTCATGTAACAATTGCTGGTAATTGTGGTGGTGGTGGTGGTAGTTTTCACTCCGGATCACGTCAGGTAGCCACATTGAATTCACCAGAGCACAGTTCAACCACCGCATCGTTCCTTGGCAGGCTGTCAAGCAGTTTACCAGTTCTAGTTGCCTTCACTTTCGCAAGGAACCGAAACTTCTGCAAATGCCAGAACAGAGGTACAGTGCGAATGACCGTAGAATCGAACCCGGGTCGCCCGTTTCACAGTCCATCGCTCTACCTATTGAGCTAACCGGACGGCTGTGTAACTGTTGCAGAAGCAATATAGTATATTTATACCTGAGAAACTCAATGGTAACAAAAAGAAATTTGTAAGAAAAGGTTGATAGTGTTTGCATACACAACGGTATAGAAAAGAGAACCTTAAAGAGGGAGACACAAACACAGTATCAAAGTTACATCTATAGAAATATTTTATCAAGCTTTGAAAAACATTATTGCAGAAGAATAAACTGTACGCCAGTACATGAACATATCTATCACTGGTTCTAAACCTGAAGAAAAACGTACCAATCATTACAAAGAACAGTGTTCTGGTAATAGCTATTTTGGCATTCATATTCATGAAAAGGATTTATGTGATAAATTGAACTTTTTCTTTTTAAAGAAACATGTCCAGAAAAAAAGATTATTGGGTAAAAAATGATGAAAGAAACAACAAATAAAACGTCTTATGCCAAGTGATACTTAGAAGAAAAAGGAAGAAGAAAAGAAAGTAACAAAGCAATAGTAGGAAGTACAAGCACGTGGATTTCTTAAAAGTCTGATCAAATTGCAATTAGAACAAATACTAAGCAAGTAACAGTCACATTCGTTCTTCAACAAAGATTTCCAATCAATATTATACATGTATATTTTTATGAGTGTTCACAACTACGTGAGGCTATAATATGGGTTTATCTTTTTATTTAGGTCATACGCAGCTTTTCATTGAATGACAGGAACCTATCACATTGAAAGTATATCATTATAATCACAGCCATATGGACATAATTATCTGCAGAAGTTTACAAATTCAAATCTCACGTATAATATTATATTCATTAACTACCGTCATTGTTTAATCAATGATGCATTGTTTTAATTTTGCCGTTGTTGCGTTTCTTTAGGGATACTGTATATTTACACTATTTTATCACCTAAGGCTACATGCTTACTATAAGGATTGTGTTTATGCGGCTTGACCCGTGAGTCAAGAGGGTTTTCCTGTTTCAAGTACATGTATTCAAAAAAATTTTTTATAAAATTATACTATTAGTCGTATATTTAACTGGTCTGGAAATAGTTTTAAAACAAATTTCACCCTAAAGATGGATGCACCATCTGTGTTAAAATGTCGAGGTTTTTTATTGACGGCGGGGACGGGTCCGACCCCAAGTGTCTGTGGGTCCAGGAACTTTTGGACTACACTTCGTACATGTTTCAAAAAGCACGTTTATATTATTAGTTATAAA